GAGGACGGGGCGCTGAGGGGGCAGGGGGGCCGCGCGCCGTGGTGGGTGGCGGCGGGGCGCGCACCGGAAGGGACCGTCCTTGAAGGAGCTGAGGAGGAGAACCTGGTGGGAATGTGCTACCTCGGCGCGCCACGACACCACAGCTGGGAGAGGTAAGGCGGGGAGGGGTGTTCTACAGGCCGCTGTATTCCATGTTCAACTAGTCCCAACAAGAGTTACAACGAAAGTTTACGAGTAAAAAGACGATGGAAAGGGCGAATTTACACACAACATGTACTACTTTGTGCGTAGCTACGTACAATTGCCAACTTACATAACCTTCGTACAGAATTTGTACGTTAATATGAACAATATATGTACTGTACCTAAGCATAATATCGTTCAAAATTGTGCGTACGTTACGTATGTACATAGTTGTACATAAGCTACGTATGAAATAGTACATAGCAACTCTGTGTGCAGATTGCCAGCCCTTGCCAGCCCGTGGGCGGAAACGGCAGACATTTAAAATACACGAACACCTTGACAAACACAATCCTCCAGTTGGAACTAATAAATTAGGCTGGTCTTATTTGGGGTTGGTTCAGATAATGTGCATTGAACAAGAAAGCAGCAGAACTTGAAATTTCTCATCACGAAAGGTACAATATTTTAGAAAACCCTGCTTGGTCTTACGTACGACGAGTATCGTGCTTTACGTACGGACCAGACGAGAAGGAACGTGTGTGATAAAAGGGAGAAGGAGGGAGGGAGGGAGGGAGGGAGAGAGAGAGAGAGAGAGAGAGAGAGAGAGAGAGAGAGAGCACGCGCTCCACGCCGCCCGTGAGGGTGGGGGCCGGAAGGAGACTTCGAGCGCGCTCGGCTCCGGTCGGAAATGTGCCGAAGCTGGCCGGAGCCGCAGCGGCGGCCGAGCGCTGCCCGACCCGACCGACCTCCTGACAGTTCAGTTCTCCACGAGCCGTGGTTCAGTCGAGACGTGCCGCGGGACGCTCTTGCCCCACTCGCCCGGCTGCACAGTCCCGTAGCGCTCGCTGGCGCCGCGTCAGAGAGAGACAGAGCGAGTGTGCTTTACACGTTCAGCGCGCGCGCTCGCCCCCTCCAACAAGGATTACCGCGTGGTGGATACATGGATTATATCACGTGACGTGTTGTGATTTCGATTGAAAATTGTGTGCTCGTGTGTTGTTTTTACGTAAACCTTGGTGAATGGATAATGCACCACGCCGCTACGACAACTCTGTGTGTGTGAGAAGTGATACAGTGCATTTTATTTTTTCTGACAAAATTGAAAAGAAAATTATCGCTGGCCAGATTGGCGATAAGTGAGCCTTTGTGCAGTTCTGTTTTTCGTTGGTTTTTCGTTTTGTCGATGTGTGAACACCTGGTCCGGTAGCGAGCCCCACGATGGCTGGCTCCGCCGTTGGCTGCGCCGGCCTGCTCCTGCTGGCGCTCTCGCTGGCGGGGGCGTCCAGCTGCCCCTCGCCGTGCCAATGCAAGTGGAAGGGCGGCAAGCAGGCCGTCGAGTGCGTGGACCAGGCCCTCATCACGGTGCCGACCGGCGTCGACCCGGAGACGCAGGTCCTCGACATGTCCGGCAACCGGCTGCAGGAGCTGCCCAAGGAGATGTTCGTGCGAAACCTGCTGCTCAACCTGCAGCGCGTCTACCTGCGCAGCTGCCGCATCGGCCAGATCGACGACCAGGCCTTCAAGGGCCTCACCAACCTGGTCGAGCTGGACCTGAGCGAAAACCTGCTCACGTCCGTGCCCTCGGCCACTTTCAACGACATGCCCTTCCTACGCGACCTGTCGCTGGCTAAGAACCCCATCCAGAAGCTGGAGAGCGGCGCCTTCCGGACGGTGCCGGGGCTGGTCAAGCTCGACCTGTCCCACTGCGAGCTCCAGTACATCGCGCCCAAGGCCTTCGAGGGCGTCGAGCTCATGGAGTCCCTGCGCCTCAACGGCAACCGCCTGTCCGTGCTGCAGCCGCACACGGTGGAGCGGCTGCAGCGGCTGCACGGCGTGGAGCTGCACGACAACCCGTGGCACTGTGACTGCCACCTGCGCGCCGCCAAGCTGTGGCTCACCAGCAACAACATCCCGTACCCGGTGGCGCCCGTGTGCAGCGGCGGCCCGCATCGCGTCCAGCACCGCACCTTCGCCGAGCTGCACGTCGACGACTTCGCGTGCAAACCCGAGATCCTCCCGGTCAGCCGCTACGTCGAGGCCACGACCGGCGAGAACGCGACCGTGCTCTGCCGCGTGGGGGGCGTCCCCCAGGCCGACATCCACTGGTACTGGAACGGGCGGCTGCTGCTCAACAACTCGGTCTTCAGCCCGTTCCAGCGCGTCTACGTGTTTGAGGAGGGCACGTTCGAGAAGACGTCCGCCCTGGTGCTGACCAACGCACAGGATACGGACCAGACGGAGTTTTACTGCGTGGCGGAGAACCGGGCCGGAAGTGCCGAGGCCAACTTCACGCTCCACGTGTCGATGCGCCTGGCTGGCATCTCCACGCTGGGCTCGGGGCAGATCTTCGGCCTGAGCGCGGCGCTGATTGTCCTGGTGCTCGTCATCCTGCTCGTCATCCTGGTGCTGCTGGTGCGGCTCCGAAAGCCACCCGCGTGCGAGACCAAGTCGCCCGGACAGCTCGAGGTGGTGGCCACGATGAACGGCAACACCGTCACCACCAACTGCAAGGCAGCCCCCGTGACGGACTCATCCTCCGAGCGCACCACCGTCACCTCGGACTCGATCATGTCCAACAACCCGATCCAAAAGCCCCCGCGGCGGGCTGAGATCTCGTATACGACGAGTCACTACAACGGGCACGGCAGCGTCCTGAGCGCCACGCACTTTTCGCCGCCCACCTCCAACCCGGACCTCATCAACGACACGAGGCTCAACCCGCCGCCGCCAGCGCCCATGTCCAATGGCCACGTGCAAGGTCTCGGACACGCCAACCCTGGGGGTCCCGGCCTACTGGGCCCCGGTATCGGCGCCGTGCTCAGGCCGGGCAGCGGCGAGTACAGCCGTGCAGGCGGCTGTGACTCCCTGTATCCCTCCGGCATCTGGGACACCCAGTCCCCGGAGCACTACATCAGGAGGACCACCAGCTCAACAGCGACTGGATTACACTACGACGCCTCCGACAAAACCCCCATCATCGGGGACGGCACCAGCATGGGGGGCGAGTCGGAGGACGACCTGGAGTACCGCAGTCGGACGCTGCCCAGACCGCACATCGGTCACCCTGGCCACCCGGGCCACCCGGCCCTGCCCGGCCACCCCCCTCCCCACGAAGACTACCCCCCGGACTACGGGCTGCCTATCCCCCAGGCTGAGGGTGCCCAGAGCCCCTCCGCCACCTCACCGACTGGCGCCCACCCCAACGTCCTCCCCAATGCTAAAACCTTACGTGTGTGGCAACGAGGAGTGCCAGTGTTACCCCCAGTGACTGCCCTCAAGCGAGTGTTATCAAGCAATAGAAACTCTCCAGATGAAGGATACCAGGAAGGCTGCGGTACGGACGTCTAAGACGTGGCAAAAGGTAAAAGAAACGACGAAAGCTCCTTGCTAAGTGCTGTGTTTTGTGTCCAGTCTTTCCTTAACCTATTTCAGTATTGATCGAGTTCGGTCCTGATATTACAGAAGCTCAATGGCTTGCCAAATTTGTTAAGACTTTCCCAACCCCGCGCGACTCAATGAAATATGCGCCCAGGGCTCTCTGTTAAAGTAATGACTGGTGCAACTGAACTGATATACGATAACTTGGCCTAGAGCTTTTTTTAGTTTTCCCCTCCTAAATATACCTTTGTGACGGCTACAAAGGAGCTCACTGTGATATAGCACGTGGAAATGTTGAGAAATCATTTCTTGGGTTGACTTGTTTTGTAAGTAGTAGGACGGATAAGGGAGAATTGTTGTCTGAAGCAGACTTGTAAACCCGGCTTAAGTTATGCCAATAAAGTTACAAACTTTCATCTGATCTCGTGATCACGTGGCAACCAAAGCTCTCTTCTAAAATATAGCTATACCCAGGTGTCCAAAAGCACATTTATCATATCTGAATCCAGCAAAAATTGCTTAAACTTAATGTACTGTATGTATAAAGAAAATGCATAATACGTTTACCCCCCAGTAGACTCACAGTAACAGTGAATTCTATCTAGTCTCAGTTGTTGACTGAAGAGAAAAGTTGAGAGGTCAACTTCATAGATTTTCGAGAGAAGGCGAACTTTGTCTTTTTGGGCCCCCTGAATGTCTATTTGACTTAACAAGCAGGCACAGGGTGTGAATTACAGATTTTCTCGCTCAGGCTCTCGTGCTTGCATCTTAGTCAATCACGTGTCAACAGGGAAGTTTTACAAAATCATAACGATGTAACTGCTTACTATGGGACTTTCTGCTGTGTTTACAAGCCTGGAGATGATGTACTGAAATTCCTACATAGATCACTATAAAACAAAACATATCGTACCTCTATTTGTTGTAATATAGAGGGAATGAATGAAAAATCGAAAAGGAGACATTGCCTTGGATACAATTATTTGAGACTGAGAAAGAGTGTACAGAAGTACTTAAATGTTCTGAGGTAGATAAATGTGTTCAACTTCTCATTGCCGTTGTGACTTGTGTGATAATAGACTACTGGGCGTGTTGTCAGCCATGTGTAGGTGTATTTTGACTTGTAAAAAAAATTAAGTGTGCCCCTAAGTTAATGGCAGTGTCTCGCATGGGATTCATTATGCATTACAGACTAAAACCCCTCACCCTTTTATTATTTGAGTTTTGTCTTTTAGTTTTATTTTACTTGCTTTTCTGTAGAGTAGTCAATAGAAGCACTATTCTTTATTTGCAGTTTAGAATGCAGTTTGTCTGAAATCGCCGGTAGCAGCGTTTTATCTATATTTTTGGCTAGTGTTAATTACATCAAAGCAGAGGCCATTCTGTGTCGAGCAAACACGGGCTATCTTAATCCCTTCCATATCAAGTGCATTGAATTGCCATGCGTGATACTCGCGCCATGCCTTGTACTGTACGTATCACATTGTCGTGTACATTGACCCGTAAAGAGAAACATGATGTTTCTAAAATTTGGATCTCGATGTGTAAAAGAAGCAAGAGGGCCAGAATTGCATAAGTATAAAGTGCTACGCTGTCAGTTAAAGAGCAAATTCATTCAACCGGTAACTTTAGATCCAAATCGTGCAGTACATTAATTCCATCTTGTGGCTATAGGTCATTAATTTACCAGCTGAAAACCAAAGGTTAGTCAGTAATGTAGTCTTAAAAATTATATTATGAACACGATTAATTTGATGTACATTGTGCAAATTAAGTCTTCTTCCTTCTTTTCTTACTTTTCTATTTTTATATCTATATACATAATATACGAAGAAAATCTTTAATATCTATACATAAATATATTTTTGTTGTACATTTTTGTTGTTGATTTTTAATTAAAGCCCAAAGTGAAACTATATTTTGTTCTGTTGTCCTGTTTTGATTTCAACCACTTCCCTGATTCCCCTTTAAAGATGAGTAAGCATACAAAATTTCTACCGCAAACAAGCTTTTTTATATTTTTCTCACTATTGTGTAAATCTTCAGACATCATAAGAATTTTTCGTTTAAAGTACAAACTTTGCATGGCTACTCAAATATTTTCGAAAAGAAGAAGAGTCACCACAATATCTTTCGAACAGCAAACCGATCAACAGACAGTGCATTGAAAAAACCCTGATGGAGAAGATGAACCAGCAACTGTACATAGCACTCTTTTATATACAAGGTGTTCTATAGGTTTCGTATACTCATTTTTAAATATACTGCACGTACTCGGGCATGTGGACGAGTTGCCCTACTCGCTAAGTGCCGCAAGGCATCGCGGTGAGCAATGGTAGGCCCTCTCACATGCCTGCGTGCTGTACGGTATAATTTTAAAAAGATACTTGGCCTAGGAGAACACTCTGTACACGTCGCTGCTAGCTATTATTTCAAATCGCAGATGAGAAATACCGAATTCTTTTTTCAGGTACCAACAGGTATTTTCGACGACAGGTGCCCGTCTCCAGACCCACACCGAACCAAAGCCGATTCTTAGTAGTCAAACTTTTCTAATTTACGAAGCATGTCGTACCTATATCTTCTTCCGCACAGTTCCCGCCATTCTACTTCCTCATTAGTCCGCATTCTGCCTCGACGCCGCCACTCAAGCTTGCTAAGCATTCGCAGATATCACCTCGCTTACAGCACCTTCCAGAATCTTGCCTCCACGACTCATCGACCCCTGACCCCTGGAGTAGTGAGGGCACAAGACGGAGAAGGGCCGTGGCTGAAAGCAAAGAGAGTCGTACAGTTAGTATTGAAAGGTCAGTCAAGTTTTGAAACCCCCAGCTCGCACGAAATTCTTGCCGGGCCAGCCAGCGTTCCCCTTTAATTGGGCTGAAATTGGGAAGAGCGAGGGGAAGGCGCACCCGCCAATGGCAACGAGAGGATCTCCCACAAAACCTTTTTTGGGAGGAGGGTATCTTTTTTCACCCTTTAGTATCATTTTCCATTTCCGCAATTCCGTACGTTTCCCCCCGTCCCTCACTTTTACGTGGCTGTAATGGCTCCGTGCATTACGTGTTTTGCTGATTGTCGTTGTAATGGCCCGGGCGGCTCTGACCACAGTCACCTCCCCTCCCCGCGCCACTTCCGCCGCCGAGCTCTACTCCTCCCGGTGTACTGCAAGGCCAGGTGCATCGCTCATCATGCTCTGAGATTGACCTTTCAGGGGCCAGACGCTGCTTCGTGGGGCAATCACAAGCAGAATCGATGTTGTTGCGTTTGCCGGAGCAGTCGAGATTGGGGTCAGAGTTGGCGGCGGCAACCTATGGGAGACCCCTAGAGAAACGAACTCGCGTTGGCGGTGAGCACTCGTGGCACTGATTCAATCGATTGAAACTCACAAATAAGACGTCAATAGAGCTTTTAAAGGGGCGTTACGGTCCCCCTTGCGCACGGCAATAATTACCACAGGGAGGTTAGGGCCAGGCGCCGATTAAGTAATTTATCAAGTGAAACAAATAGAGGATGATCAATGCGTTCAATAACAGGGCAGTGAGGTTGCATTGTCCAGGCATGAAATGTAGTGCACGGCGGTGGTCCCCAGTGTGTGTGGGGGCCACCGGGGGGCCGCCGAGGGGACCAGCAGCGCGGAGGGCCACCGAGGGGCCAAACGGGGCGGCGGCACGTAGTGGACGAGACCATAACTTTATTGGAGCCCTTCGGGGCCCAGCGGGGCTCTGTGGGGCCCGGCCGGCGGCCCCGTGGGGACGGCCAGGGCCCCATAGGGACCCTTCGGGGGCCGGCCCCGGGCCCACGGGGCAGCACCACCTGTCCGGTCCAGAACGGTAATTTGTGCCGTGCGTGCGCCATTACATCCCACCCACGTCTTGCCGTGCTTTACTCGCGGCCCTCACGAGGCACGCCGGAGGCACGCAACCCCGCGGGGGGACGGACGGGGAGGGCCTAATCTGGGGATTACCCCCGACGCCGAGGAGAGTTCGACTAGCGCAGAGGGGGTGAACGCCCGCCCACGCGATCGCGCGCATCGTGCAGGAGAAGCTCTATACAGCCCCAGTTGCGCCAGGAGGGTACGAACTAGTGGGGTCACTGCTGTCATTTCGGGCGTCCAGACACACAGCAACATTGGAAGGAAACACAAACAAGTGGGTGAATGTGGCACACCTGCAGGTCTGTGAATGGCAACCTGGTCTGCTAAGGGAGTTAATCTTCCTTGAAATTTGGCAAATTAAATTTGTACCTAAAAGAATGCGGATCAAAGTTCACACGCCTGTGTGCGACGTTCACATACTTGGGTTATTTTCGGGCATGCAGGCAGACTCTCTGGGCAGACTCAGTCTAATGTTGAGAAACGTTTGCTGCCACGGTTACGATGATACTTCCAAGAAAAAGGTTTTTGGAGAGTGCAGAATTGGGCGCTTTACTATCACCCCACGGCAGAACGTACACTGTTAAATCCCTTGCAACTGCGAAGCAATGCCAGCAATGCTTTACAAGCTGCAAAGTAAGCATCGTTGCGCAATTGCATGGCCTTGTAATTGCTTCGTAGTTACGAAGGATCTAAATCCTTCGCAATACTGAAAAGCATTGATGTGCAGGACTTTAACAGTGTATGGCGTTATTGGGAAAGAGTTCATATCCAAAGGGTTGCATCATTAGTGTGCCCGCAGGGGGTTCATTTCTCTATTATTTCTGAAAGGGTATAAGGGGCCCCAGGAGGGATCCCCAGCAATGATACCGTTCTACCCCTCCAACTCCCCCCCCCCCCCCCCCCCCCCCCCCCCCCACTCCTTCATTCCTTATCGTGGTCGGCCGGAAAGTGATGATACGTCAAAAGAGTGACGTCGCGCAGGGGAGGGCGTCATGTCTCTCGTGCACCGCGCCGGGGCCCCACCATTTTATTATCCGTGACGCCGCGACAGACGCACACGCACGCACACACAGGAGTAGACACATGCACAATGCACACACACACACACACGCCCGGCTAATTCGCCCCCGCTCGCCTCTCTTTCTGTGTAAGCCTTCTCGTATACATAGTGGCGTGCAGGCAGCCCCGAGGTAATTGTCTAATTTGATACCGCTCGTGATACGAGCCGCGCACGGATACGAGCAGGATGCCTCCTCCACCGCCCTCTTTAATTTTGGGGCGTTGCTTTTGATTCCGCCTTTTGCTCATTTCCGACTGAAAACTTGTAAAAGACACAGACAGAGAGAGAAAGAGGGGAAACTTTCCTTAAAACAGGGGTAAAAAAAAGAATGGGAATAAAAACGGGGGGCAAAAGCAGAGAAAAGAAGAGAAGATAAACATTCTCTCGCAAAACTCAGGTAAACGCGATAATAAGAGGAGTGCTTTCTCCCTTCACGCGCCGCTCGGACAAAGACGAGATACACAGGGAATGTCCCAAGTAAACGTCCTCTTAAACAAGTCCTACCCCCTTCCGCCCTCTCTCTCTCTCTCTCTCTCTTTGCGCCGCGCGCGCCCTACTGGACACCCAGCGCCAAACTACTGGCAAAGTACTTTTGGCACAAAAAGCGCTTTCCTCAGATTCGCGCCCCGCGCTCCGCTGCGCTGCTGCTGCTCGGCGTGCCGAGATGAAGACAGACACTTGCTGCCGGGACGACTCGTTTGTCCGCTGTTTGCTCATGCAGGCAGCAGCAGCGGAAGCAGCGAGCCCAGGTCGAGGGGCAAACACAAACACCGGAATTGGATTCTTTGTCGAACAGTGCTCGGGCCCCCCGCTCCCTCATTGCAGGAGGGGCTTACAGCTGAGGTGCGGTGGCGGTGCGCTGCGAGCGAAATCACTTTCCGCGCCACAATTAAATGCACCGCCAATCACGCGACAGCAGCGGGGAATTCCCTGGAAATCCAGTTAGCGAGAACGTCGTTTGGACGGGCTGCAGGGTCAGTAAGGTCCTCCCGGGCTGTCACGGGCACTAAGTCCTTTCGGATCCTTAAAACCACCCGCCCGCCCCAACCGTCGTCCCCGACCCACCCAACCCACACAACCCTCCCCGGCGGCGACACAGCAGGCGTAACCAGGGTGCAGAAAAGGGCTGAAAAACGGCGGCGAGGCCAGCGGGGCGGGTGCTGCTGCTGTGCTGCGGGGTCCGACAGCGCTGGCGGGGGAATCCCTGTGAGGAAAAGGTATTGCAGTACCGCCCTTCGCCCGCCCCCTCCGTGTCGTGGCGGAGCGTGGCGCAGTGATTGAAACGCATTCCGGACCGTACTGTAGGGGGTGGGGATGGGGAAGGGTCTCCTCGAGGCCGTTTTATGATCAGGGTGAGAAGAGGCCGGCCGCCCCCCACCCGCCGCCGCCGCCGCTGCGCGTGGCTCAGGTGAAGTGGAAGTTACTTCCGGACTCTACTTCCTTCGTACTCCTATCCGGAAAGCGAAGCGATTCCGGAATAGCAATAGAGAGAGGGAGAGAGCGAGCGGTGCAGCGAATGAGGCGCACCCTCTGTCGCAAGTTGTACCACATCCTGTGGATTTGAACCATATATGCCAAACCTCGCTGCTATTCTGTTACCTATCAGCTCAGATTCCTAAACTGCATACATTGGCTATATCAAAGAAAGTAGACTTGCCAAATGTCTACATCCTCGTGTAAGGGAAGAAATTAATGGCGTCGTCAAAACCCTCATTGAAGTTCATGAGTAAGCTCCAGTGCAAACGCGGCTGAGCAGCAAGGGGAAGCCAATGGAAAACACTGAAAAATGCGAGAAAAATATCCTCGAAAATTTCCAACAGTAATTGTAGTTTTTATTTTCAAAGTATGTTGTAAATTTGCGGCAGCCCATCTTGCTTGTTGCCCAATTCTTAGTCGATGATTGTAACACAGCAAACATTTTTCCGGGAACTTCCCGGTTGGATTCAGGAAGTACATTTTCCGGTTATAACATGCATAGATA